ATAAATTGTTTCCTAGAAGTGCATTACATATGTAAATAAATTTTGGGAGAATTGACTTTTTAAAATAAAATTAATTCTACATCCAAACAAATATGTCTTAACTTTTGTTGAGATCTTGTTTTATGCTCTTCATTAAGTTATGTACTTTTCCTTTCATTTGGAACTCTGCGCTCTATTATTAAATATATTATTAGTTATGTTTTATGTAGTTTCAGGTACATGGAGAATTTTTCTCCCATTTCCCTTTCTAGATATTTCCATATGAATGGAGTAAATATTGTTTATCATATCATCCCACTAATTTTATGAATCCTTTTTTTTTTTGGGGGGGGTACTGGGGATTAAACTGAGGGGCACTTCACACTGAGCCATATCCCAGCCCATTTTGTTTTTTATTTTGACAGGGTCTCATCAAGTTGCTTAAGGTCTTGCAAAGTTGCTGAGGCTTGGACTCAAACTTGTGATCCTCCTGGCTCAGCCTTCTGAGCCACTGGGATTACAGGCGTGTGCCAGGCCTGGCCTAATTTGATAAGACTTTTGGGTATTTAACTATTCAATCAAATCCTTAAAATAAAGAGGATATTTTTACCATTTCATATTTTCTTAATTACAATAGTCAGACATTCCAATAACATTGAATACTAATACCTAAAGAAGTTAAATCTACTTACACCTGAATTTTTAATTAAATAGTATTTAATAGCATTTTAAGTTTTAGAAAAATAATTGTTGTTTGTTCTTAGTTAAGATGATATTTTACATTTAAATAGTTTCCTTATGTTCTTAGAAATTTTGAATAGAAATAGCTAGGTGATTATTATCATGATCATCAACCTATCATTGATTAGAAAGAACCTTACATGGAAATGGAATCATTCCTGTCTTCCTGAAATAAACTTCATTAAGCCATAGGTACTATAGGTATTATTTTTTAATTAAATAATGTGTGAATTAGATATACTAGTGTTTCCTTTTCAATTTTTTCATTTATATACTTCAGTGAGGTTAAACTTTTTTCTTTTTTAAAATTTTATTCTTTAATTTGTTCTAATTAGTTACACATGACAGTAGAATGCATTTTGACAGATTGTACACAAATGGATCACAACTTTTTCTTCTGGTTGAACACACTGGTAGTGTTATCAGACATGTATATGGGGTAATAATGTCCATCTCATTCCACCATTCATTCCATCCCTACAACCCCTCCCTTCCCCTCATTCCATCTGCACAATACAAAGTTCCTTCATTCTTCCCCACCCTACTGCCCCATTATGGATCAGCATCCAATTATCAGAGAAAACATTTGGTTTTTGTTTTTTGGGGTTTGGCTTATTTCACTTAGCATAATATTCTCCAGCTCTATCCATTTACCTACAAATGCCACAATTTTGTTCTTCTTTAAGGCTGAGTAATATTCCATTGTGTATATGTACTACATTTTCATCCATTGATCTGTTGAAGGACATCAAAATTTAGCTTTTTTTGAATTGAGCTGCTATAACATTGATGTGGTTGCATCACTCTAGTATGCTAATTTTAAGACCTTTGGGTGTAAACCAAGGAGTGGAATAACTGGGTCAAATGGTGGTTCCATTCAAATTTTTCTGAGGAATCTCCATACCGCTTTCCATAATGGTTGCACCAATCTGAGGTCCCAGTAGCAATGTATGAGTGTACCTTTTTCACTACATCTTCGCCAACACATTGTTTCTTGTATTCTTGATAATTGCCATTATGATTCCTCTTTCTATCAGAATTTAGTATTAAACTATGCTGGATGAATAAAATGAACTGGAAAAAAACCTTCAATATTTATCCACTTTCAGGACCAGTGGGAAAAAAAAATATTATCTCCTAATTTTTTTAAAAGATAATTGTAAGTCACTTTGGTCAGGATGCATTATTTACCTTTCTAAGGTCTTTTATAGTAATGACCTTTTCAAGTTTTATACTAATTGAGTCAGTTATAATAATCTAAATTTGATAGGATATTCTTTTCATGTAAGTTTTATAAGTCAACAATTCTGACTATGATTAACATCTAAGGTCTATCGTGGTCTTTTCTCTTACTCTAATCATACATTTTGTTCAAATTATCAGGCTCAAGGTGGATTTTGCAATTTTGCAGAGTGATCTCTTATGATTTTCTTAATTTTTCTACTTTACTTTTTTTGTTGTTTTTATTTTCATTTTTATTGGTTGTCTTTTACCTAACTTATTTTGTTTGGCAAAGGAATAATATTTTCAGCAAAGTAAAACAGTCTTCATATTTAAGTTCAGGTAGTATAATTTTAATAAAGTGAGATTATTAGGCTAGGGATCAGAATATGTACTCCAAGTTGGTCCCCATTAAGTCATGTGTGCTTTTTATTTTATTTTTTTTAATTTAATTTAATTTTATTTTATTTTATTATTATTTTTTTAATTTATTTATTTTTATTGGTTGTTCAAAACATTATAAAGCTATTGACATATCATATTTCATACAATAGATTCAAGTTGGTTATGAACTCCCAATTTTACCCCAAATACAGATTGCAGAATCACATCGGTTACATATCCACACATGTGTGCTTTTTAGCAAAGCATTTTATCTGTGCCACGAATAGTTTCCACATCTGCACAATTTAAAAAGGCGTGTACAGCCTGAAGGTTTTTGTTAGGTACAAAAAAAAAAAAAAATTACACCTGCTAACCTGTAAGTTAAGGTTATCTTGAAAGGTAAAACAAGATCTTGAAGAAAACACATCTAAGTTACACTGCAGAAAACCGAGAAATATATTTAAAATTTTTAAAAAATGTCCCATGTTGTTAAATAACATTCTCATATTATTTTGGGGAGAAAAGAAATAGCCTATGGTCAAATGATAGTTTTCAGGGACTTATGTCAAACAAACTACAAAACCTGTGATTTTTTCAATAAAAAGCCTATGCATTTTATTTATATTTTCATTTGGACATGTAGTCTTATTCATTAGATATGCAAAGTGTCTGGGATACAAGAGTGAAATTCAACTTTCTACCTTTGGTCTCTGATTAAATTTTTCCATGGTCATATAGTTTTCATACAATATAGCATATAGATTTTAATTCCTAATTAAAACTTTTTCATCACAGATTACTCATTAAGATAATTCAGAATTTAGAAACTTCTATACTGATAGCTTTATTGACAAAAGGATAAATCACTCTAAGTTTGGCTTTGAATTTCAGAAAAAATTCAGAGAAAACAAATATGTTGCTTTATATGAGCTCTGTATGAGTTCTACAGGTTTTTTCACTGACTTATATACTCTGCTGATTTCTTTAAATTTTGGGAAAGTAACATGTAAAAATCCTTAATTTTTTGTTTTTTTTCTAAAGAGGTTTCTACATGTTGCCCAGGCAGGCCTTGATTTCCTGATGTATGTCACCACACCTGCCAAACAAAAACTTTTTTTGATGAAGAGTTATTTGTCCTAATATTATTTGTGGATGGATTATAATATATCTTCCATTTTATAACCAGAATCTATTTATTTATTTATCTATCTATCTATTTATTTATTTAATGGAGGGGTATCAGGGATTGAACTCAGGGACACCCAACCTATGAGCCACATCCCCAGCACTATTTTGTATTTTTTTTAGAGAAAGAGGTCTCACTGAGTTGCTTAGGGCATCACTTGCTGAGACTGGCTTTAAACTTGGGATCCTGCTGCCTTAGCCTGCTGAGCCACTGGGTTTACAGGCATGCCCCACCATGCTCAGCAGTATTTTTTTATTATTATTTCTTTTTAGTTATATATAACAGTAAGATTCATTTTGAGATAATTATAAAAGCATGGAATATAATTTGTTCTAATTGAGACCCAATACTTCCACTTTCTCTACCCTTGTACCCTTTCTGCTATTTACATATACATACCATATATATATGTATATATCTTGTGGATGTAGATGATTGTGAAATTCACTCTAGTATATTCATATATCTACATACAAAAGTTAAGTCAGATTCATTCACTTTATTTCCATATTCAACCTACCCCTCCTTCCTTCCATTCCTCTTTGTCTAATCCACTGATCTTTTTTCCATTCTTTTTTATCCTCCACCCCCTTATTTTGAATGAGCTTCTGTATATCAAAGAAAACATTAGTCCTCTGACTTTTCAAGGCTGGCTTATTTCACTTAGCATTATAAGTCTCCAGTTCCATCCATCATTACTGACAAAAGTAACAAAGTCATTCTTGTTTACACCTGAATAATACTGCATTGTGTATACATACCACATTTTCTTTACCCATTTGTTTGTTGAAGGGCAGTTAGGTTTGTTACATAGATTGGCTATTATCAAATGTCTTGCTGTAAACATTGACATGGCCAGATCACTGTAGTATGCTGTTTTAAAATCTTTAGATATATACTGAGAAGTAGAATAGCTGAAACAAAAGGTGGTTCTATTCCAAGTTTTTTCAGGAATTTCCATACTGCTTTCCAGACTGCTTGCACCAATTCATAATACCACCAGCAATGTTTGAGTCTACCTTTTCCCCCACATCCTAACAAATATTTATTGTTACTTGTATTTTTGATAATTGCCATTTTGACTGGAGTGAGATGAAATATCAATGTAGTTTTAATTTGCATTTCTCTAATTGCTACAGGTATTGAACACTGTTTCATATATTTGTGGTCTACTTGTATTTCTTCTTTTGAGATCTGTCTTTTTAATTCCTTTGCCCATTTGTGGAATGGGTTATTTGTTTTTTGCTGTTAAGTTTTTGAGTTCTTTGTATATCCTATATCTATTCTTAAGGTTCAGAAAATGATAAGGTGATATTCCTTTAAGTGGCACTAAAAATATTATTATATTAACACTTCTGGGGGGAAAATGAGGAATTATTAGTGGAGTAAAATATAATATCATAAAAGATAGTACAAATTCCAACATGCTTAACCAAGCTATGGAAAACTCAATACCATAATTAAATAAATATGCAAGAGTACTACTTACGGATATAATTCTGAAAGCTGTTCAGCTATGGCATAAGCTGTTGGGTCTCTGTCTAAGGCATACAGAATAATATCTGATTCCTTCTGAAGAATGGCTCTTGTGTGGCCTCCTGAACCAAATGTCATATCTAGAAAAACCTAGCCAAGAAAGAAAAAAAAAATTACCACTTAAAATAAATATAAGTAATTCTGGTTATCTATGTTAATTGCTTTTCTTTTTTGGTGTAAAACAAATTGTATTATTTATTTATTCTTTTTTTAAATAAATGACAGCAGAATACATTATAATTCTTTTTATACATATACAGCACAATTTTTCATATCTCTGGTTGTATATAAAGTATGTTGACACCAATTCATGTCTTCATACATGAACTTTGGATAATGATGTCCATCACATTCCACCATCCTTGCTAATCCCCTGCCCCCATTCTCTCGCTCCTACCCCTCTGCCCTATCTAGAATTCATCTATTCCTCCCATGCTACCCCTCCCTACCTCACTATGTGTCAGCCTCCTTATATCAGAGAAAACATTTGCCATTTGTTTTGGGGGGATTGGCTAACTTCACTTAGCATTATCTTCTCCAACGCCACCCCTTTACCTGCAAATGCCATGATTTTATTCTCTTTTATTGCTGAGTAAAATTCCATTTTGTATATATGCCACATTTTTTTATCCATTCATCCACTGAAGGGTATCTGTTGGTTCCACAATTTAGCTATTGTGGTGAACTCTGCTGCTATAAACATTGATGTGGCTGTGTCCCTGTAATATACTGTTTTTAAGACTTTGGGGTATAGACTAAGGAGAGGGACAAATGGATCAAATTGTGGTTCCATTCCCAGATTTCCAAGGAATCTCCATACTGCTTTCCATATTGGCTGCACCAATTTGCAGTCCCACCAGCAATGTATGAGTGTACCTTTCCCCCCACATCCTCACCAACACTTATTGTTGTTTGTCTTCATAATAGCTGCCATTCTGGCAGGAGTGAGAAGATATCCTAGGAATTAAACCAGAGACTCTGTGTCTAATAGAAGAAAAAGTAGGCCCTAATCTTCATCATGTGGGATTAGACTCCTATAGTGCAAGAATTAAAACTAAGAATCAATAAATAGAATGGAATCAAACTAAAAAGTTTCTTCTCAGCAAAATAAACAATCTGTGAGGTGAATAGAGAGCCTACATCCTGGGAGCAAATTTTTACCCCTCACACATCATATAGAGCACTAATCTCTAGGGCATATAAAGAACTCAAAAAACCTAAACACCAAAAAACCAAATAACCCAATCAACAAATGGGCCAAGGACCTGAACAGACACTTCTCAGAAGAGGATATACAATAAATCAACAAATATATGAAAAATGTTCATCATCTGTAGCAATTAGAGAAATGAAAATCATCTATCTTAATTTCTAGAAGCCCATAATAATAATTTGCAGAGACAAGAGCAAATGGGAAAAAAAATTTTTTTCCTACAGTCAAATTCTAACATTTGTTTTCAAATTTTGTGAATTTTTTTTCTGTAATTTCTCCTGTTATCTACCATCTTTGACAATATTCCCCAATATACTGAATGAGTAACAAATGTACATACACCGATATGCTAGGACAAAAATATCGTGGTGCATAGTGGATTTGGAAATAATGGCTATCAAATCCACATTCACTTTATAGCATGCATTTTTAAATTAGAGCTTTATAGTTATACAAAATAGTTGAGTTCACCCCAACAAACTCATACATGCATGGAGTTTGCATTCAGTTCATGATCCCCACTCATCCCTCCTCCTTTTCCTTCAAATCCTCCCTTACCTCTCTCATATTCCTTCCTCAACTTTGCTAGACTTCCTTTTTCTCATTATTTGTTTATATTTGATTGGTTCTTTCTACCTACATATAAAGGTGAAGTTCCCTGTGGTATGTTTATATATGCACACAACATGATTTTTGAAGAATTCATTATACATTACCTCCCCTACCCATCCCTAGAGTTGAATTTTTTATATATGCCATCTGGCTCAATTATGAGTGATCAGTCTAAAAAACTGATCAGAGTATCAGTGCTGGTTCTTTCTTTCTCTCTCACATTCTCCTCCCCCTATTCTTTGTTGTTACTTATATTATAACAATAATCCAAATCATACAAATAGTTCTCAAAGTGCCTGTAGGTTTTATACTAAAGACAATCATTTGACAACCGAATGAGTGCAGTGACTATGAAAATACACCCCTCGCATCTCTACCAGGGAAGTGGTTTTCTGAGTCTGTATGTGTCTGTCTGTCTGAGCTAACTCTTGAGTATTTTTTATTATTATTATTTATTCTATATATGATAGCAGAATGCATTATAATTCATATTATACATACAGAGCACAATTTTTCATATCTCTGTACACAAATTAGAGTCACACCATTTGTCTCTTCATACATGTACTTAGGGTAATGATGTCCATCTCATTCCACTGCCTTTCATACTGCCATACCCCCTTCCTCCCCAACCCCTTGCTCTATCTAGAGTTCATCTAATCCTCCTATGGTATCCCATCCACCCCATTATGAATTAGCACCTTATATCTCAGAACACATTTGGCATTTTGTTTGGGGGGATTGGCTAACTTCATTTATCATTATATTCTCAAACTCCATCCATTTACCTGCAAATGACATGATTTTATTCTTTTTTAATGCTGAATAGTATTCTGTTGTGTATATATACCACATTTTCTTTATCCATTCATCAACTGAAGGGCATCTGGGTTGGTTCCACAGTTTAGCTATAATTTTTTTTTAATGCTTTCCAGCACTCAGCTGGAAAATCCAATAATTTCTTGTCATTGGAAATACCTTAAAATTAGTGTGGTTTATTTTATCTTATTTTCTCTAAGTGCTTCATATGAAAATTAAAGATATCCAAGAAGAGAGAAAAATAAACAACCAAAAGAATAAATGAGAATGAATGTAACTAACAATAAATAATTAAAAGATAAATCAAATATAACCTAGAAAAAGCTCAAAGTTTTTTAAGTAAAAACACATGAGGCAAATTCTGTTTGACACTAAATAAATTTCTTTGAAAAACATGATGTGAAGTCAAAATTCCAGTGTCTTCAGATTTTTCCCAATGTTTAAAAAGAAAAAGAGGATGAAGAAGGAAAGAAGATCATTTCCACCTACTTAAATGGGAAGATAACATATAATAATTCATCTAAACCAAGACATAGTGGAGAGTAAAGAATTTTCCAATAATACTTTTGCCAGGGTGAGAGAATATAGTATATATGAGAGCATATTTTAAAATGTTTGGCTCATTCAAGATACATAATACAGTTAACTGAATTTGAATCTATTTCTAAGCTATTTTATTTGGCCATACTTTGAAGAAAATAGATCTCAGTTGAGCAAGAAACCAGATCTTAATGATAAGAAACACGTGTGTGTGTGTGTGTGTGTGTGTGTGTGTGTGTGTATAAGGTAGTCAACTCTGACTGATTTGGAAGTCAAGATACTATCTGCACATCCCTTCAAAGTTATGGCCTTAGTTGAAGGGGCCCTTTCAATAAACTTCACGTATATCCTGAACATAAAAATACTTACTTTAGTAATATTAAAAAACAAAGATAAATAACCTATGTCTATCAGCCAGACATAAAATATTTAAACACACAGACTCACATAAACACACACTGAATTTCACATGTATAATGAAAAAAGAGAAATTCCTATATTGGATTTGAATATTTCTGTTCTTTTAATATTATACCTTAGTTTATAGAGCATGTTCAGAGACAGGGCACAATGACGTTTTGATTTTGGGACACCTATTTACAACTCTGAATGCAGTCCTCTGATCAAGTAGCCTGCTATTGAAACAATAATATTAGAATCAAAATTGAGAAGAGAATGGAAATATAATATGCAAGAGACATAAATGTGAGAAAAATGTACAAGCATTACTTTTTAATACTTTAAGATTTTTTACTAAAACTTAATCTTATACTTTATCACTATCAGCATAAAAGCCATGGCTACTTACAGTAGTTTTAGGTGGACACAATATCTTTATTTTACATTTATGTGGTGCTGAGGATCGAACCCAGTGCCTCATACATGGAAGGAGAGCACTCTACCAATGAGTCACAATCCTAGTCTTCACAATTTAAACAGTAACTTTACATTTATGAGAGTACATGCATAAATCTCAAGATCAAACACACTTTTTCCAGTTTGTATACGTACTTCAGGAATCTATGAGTAGGTAAAAAACATATAACCTATTTACCTCAGTTTTAAAATTTGTGAGTTCAGCATAATTAAAACAAAGAATTTCTTTTTTTATTGTCATATCTTTCCTTTAGTTTTTTTATTTATGTATGATAGCAGAATACATTGAAATTCTTATTATACATGTAGAGCACAATTTTTCATATCTCTAGTTGTATACAAAGTATATTCACACCAATTCATGTCTTCATACATGTACTTTGGATAATAATGTTCATCACATTCCACCATCATTTCTAATCCCATTCCCCTCCCTTCCTCTCCCCGCCCCCGCCCTATCTAGAGTTTGTCTATTCCCCCCATGCTCCCCCTCCCTACCCCACTATAAATCAGCCTCCTTATATCAGAGAAAATATTCGGCATTTACTTTTGGGGATTGGCTTAACTTCACTTAGCATTATCTTCTCTAACTCCATCCATTTACCTGCAAGTACCATGATTTTATTCTCTTTTATTGCTGAGTAGTATTCCATTGTGTACATTTACCACATTTTTTATCCATGATATACAATCAATCAAAAAATATATGAAAAAATGTTCATCATCGCTAGCAATTAGAGAAATGCAAATCAAAACTACTGTAAGATTTCATCTAACTCCAGTCATAATGGCAGCTATTATGAATACAAACAACATTAAGTGTTGGCGAAGATGTGGGGAAAAGGTATACTCATACATTGCTGGTGGAACTGAAAATTGGTGTAGCCAATATGGAAAGCAGTATGGAGAATCACTGGAAAACTGAGAATGGAATCACCATTTGACCCAGCTACCCTCTCCTCGGTCTATACCCAAAGGACTTAAAAACAGCAAACTACAGGGACACAGCCACATCAATGTTTACAGCAGC